GTGTGTGTGTGAGAGAGAGAGTGTGTGTGTGTGTGTGTGTGTGAGAGAGTGAGAGTGTGTGTGTGTGTTTGCCATCAAACAGTTCAACTTTAAAGCACACATCTCCAAATCATGTATCTTGATGAATTTTGAGGTGTAACTGCAGCATGTGAGCAGCTTCTAAAGGCTCATAACTTTCTGTTTTCATGTCAAAGGGCATGATTAAGATGGATGACTGGTGTGTGTTTTGGGCTTCACTGGCTGTAAGGCTGCCGTTTTGCAGTGCCCTGTTGAGCTCAGTCAGTGTAGATCATACAGTCGGACCATCAGCAGACGTGCTGTCATATTAATATGCCGGTTTAATCCTCTTTATTAAATTCCTCTTTGATTAATGTGCGTCACACGTGTTAATATGATTAGGATGGAGCTATAAATACGCTGTGAATGCATGTGATCGGCACGTGCTCGTCACAGTGTGTCCTTGTGTGTTCTCCTGACCCGAGTGTGGTGTGTTCCGCTGGAGCTGATGGTCTGCTGTAGTGTAGTGGAGGTGTGTGTGATGTGTGTCAGCGGGGACTGTATTTGACCTACTTCTGTGTGCTGCAGTTTCAGCAGTAGCCACAGAAATGGCACAAAATGTGCCGTCTGAGAAATAATGCACAGGCGACAGAAACCGTGTGAAGCTGCTTGTTGCTGTGCATCAGCCTGAGTCTGTGTTGCTCTACAGCAGAGGAGCTGGAGAACCTGGCCTCCGTTCACGCCGAGGCGCTGGTGTCCGGATCACACTGCAGGAGCAGGCTCGCCTCTCTGGGACGCCTCTTCAAACCCTGGAAGTGGAGGAAGAAGCAGAGCGAGACGTTCAAGCAGAGGTCGACCGGTAAATGCATGTTTCTGTTACATTTATTCCATATAGTAACAAAAATACATAAAATGCACACATCAGTCAAAGATTTTTAACGTTTTTTTTTGTTGTTTTTTTGTTGCTCTACAGCAGAGGAGCTGGAGAACCTGGCCTCCGTTCACGCCGAGGCGCTGGTGTCCGGATCACACTGCAGGAGCAGGCTCGCCTCTCTGGGACGCCTCTTCAAACCCTGGAAGTGGAGGAAGAAGCAGAGCGAGACGTTCAAGCAGAGGTCGACCGGTAAATGCATGTTTCTGTTACATTTATTCCATATAGTAACAAAAATACATAAAATGCACACATCAGTCAAAGATTTTTAATGTTTTTTTTTGTTGTTTTTTTAAGAAGTCTTCTGCTCACCAGGCCTGCATTTATTTGATCCAAAATACAGCAAAAGCAGTTAGTAGTTTCTGAGTGTACAGTACTTGTTTAAGTTTGGAGACATGGTTTTTGAAAGAGTCTCTTCTGCTCACAAAGGCTGCATTTATTTGATCAAAAATACTGTAAAAATTGTGAAATATTTTTATAATGTAAAACAGCTGTTTTCAATATGAATATCTGTTAAAGTGTAATGTATTTCTGTGATGCGCAGCTGTATTTTCAGCATCATTCCTCCAGTCTTCAGTGTCACATGATCTTCAGAAATCAGTATAATATGCTGATCTGCTGCTCGAGAAACATTTCTGACTCCAAGCTTTTGAATGGAAGAGTGTATAATGTTACAAAAGCTTTTTATTTCAGATAAATTCTGATCTTTGGATCTTTCTGTTCATCAAAGGTTCTTGAAGAAAGGTACTCAACTGTTTTGAATATTAATGATAATAATAAAAATGTTTCTTGAGCAGCAGATCAGCATATTATACTGATTTCTGAAGATCATGTGACACTGAAGACTGGAGGAATGATGCTGAAAATACAGCTGCGCATCACAGAAATACATTACAGTTTAACAGATACTCACATAGAACACAGCTGTTTTAAACTGTAATAATATTTCATAATTTTTACTGTATTTCTGATCAAATAAATGCAGGCTTGGTGAGCAGAAGAAACTTGTTTAAAAAACATTCAAAAACTCTTGACTGGTAGTGTGCATTTAGATTGATGCATTTGGCAGACGCTTCTATCCAAAGCAACTTGCATTGCGTTCCCATTAGTTTAGTTCATGCATACTCTGGGAATCAAACCCATGACCTTGGTGTTGCTAGTGCTGTGACCTACTGTTTGAGCTATAATGAAATTTCATATAATGTGTCATAAACATACAAAAGATCGGGTTGTATTAAAGTCTCCTGCCTTAAAGGCTCAGTAGGAACATAATGCTGCATCTGCCAAAAACAACACATATATTTGATTAGTCTCAGAAAGCAGAGTGCATGATAGAGCAGAGCATCTGCAGGGTTTCTGTCGGCCTCAAGTCTTAATTTGCCCTTGCATAAATTAAGCCTAAAAAGTTATTTTTGAGCAGAAAGTCTTAAATTCATAAAGTTGTGGCATTATACGTTGCATGCACTGCAAAACATGAATATCTCCCTCAGTATGTTGTCCTGTTTTCTAGTGCAAATATCTAACCATCCTTAAATCAAGATACACTTACTTGAGATGCAAAATAAAGACAGGAAGTCTAGTTTTCTGAGAAATCCAACGAAATCGAGTGAGTTTATGCTTCAAAGAAGAGCAAATATCAGTCAATGGGGAATGAAAACTTGTTTTTGTAACTTACAGGTACATGCATGCATATTTATTGATTGTGAGGATCTCAGTTGAGGGAGTGTTCTGGGTTCAGCTCGACTGACCTTTAGAAAGCAGAAGTCTTCATAAAGCACTTAGACGTGAGTTTCATGATGAAGATGATGAGGATGATGATGTTCATTCAGTTATATTAGGAGGAATAAATGAGAACATTTGCACATTTAGTTGTTATGGCACAAAACTGAATATGCTGTAAAATGATAAGCATACCATGAATGTAAAATACTAAATCAAGTATGTAAATTAATGCATTGTGATAATCATATAGAATATGTGAATATTCAGTAATCCCAGTCGGCTGATGTTACAGAGACACGCATAAGCTTTCTGCTGGCCTTAAAAGATCTTAATTCATAAAGTCATGGCATTAAATGTTGCATGCACTGCAGTCTTGTTTTCCAGTCTAAATATCTAAACGTCCTTAAATCACGGCACATGTACTGGAGAAGCAGAATGAACATACGAATTGTTGTCCAGATGTTCTTCATCTCGTGTTTGTGTGTGTCTTCAGCTCTGGAGAGGAAGATGTCGGTGCGTCAGAGCCGAGAGGAGCTGATCAAGAGAGGAGTGCTGAAGGAGATCTTTGAGAAAGGTTCTCGTGACCTCTGACCTTCACGCCGTGTGTTCTCTGGAGCAGACTTCACTTTCAGTGTCTGATAGCAGCTCGGCGAATCACAAACCCTTTAACCGCCAGCACTCATTCGCTTCATATCTTACATGAAATAAATCAAAAACATGCGGTACAAAATAAAGCAGAGCAAATAAAGTGTAATGATATTAATAAACACAGTATTCTTCCACCAAACAATGTAGCTCCTCAGAAACAGTTGTGGTTGCTACAAAGTGGTTGCCGAGCAACACACAAATGTAAACAAAGGTGTGTGTTACTTTGTAGCGTCATTTACAACAGCTTCGAGCGCGGCTCAGCCAATCAGAATCAAGCACCGGAACTCTCCGCTGTATAAATGCACTCTCATCACACGATTGAACACTGAACATTAAAATAGCCAAGTCTACTGACTCCTGCTGTCATGCTCATTTGTAACTTAATAATCATAAGACTACAGTTATCAAACATAATATTCTTTATTAATTTAACAAACTGAGAAATCTCATTTTTCCTGATCTTTTGACAGCTACGTGATCATTATGCTATAGAAATGTTCTGTATGTTTCAGAACTCAACGCATCCTTGTATGTCCAAAAACAGCTTTTATTGAAAGCAAGCTGCTAGAAAAGAACTCATTTTCTCCTTCCTGCTATTCAGTGATGAAAGCTTTCGTGAGCGAGCTGATCTGAATATAACACAGTCAACGCTCTTCACCACGACTTCATCTCAGCAGCTGAAATAGTAAAGATGTAGTAAACATTTTCAAAAGAGTTCCACGTGTAATACTTATTTGAAATGCAAAGATGTTAGCCAATCACAGCAGTGGGCGATTACATTGAAGGCTTAAAGGAGACATGCCCATTTAAACGGTTATTGCATGGATAAGAAGTTGCTCTTACTCCGTTTATTTGTATTCCATGGCAGGAAAAAACAGATCTGTGAGATATGAAGTCAGATTTCAGAGAGAAAAAAACTCAGAATTCTAAAACATAAACTCAGAATTCAGAGAAAAAGAACACTGAACAGCTGTAAACTTGAAATTGTATAATTCTGACTCCTTTTCACAAATTTGTGAGGGAAAAAAGTCTGAATTGTGAGATTAAATGTTAAATTATTAAATGTATGTTTGTTCTTATCCAGTGGCAGAAATGGGCTTTCGTATTAAACCGACTGTTCAAAATAAAAGGTTAAAATCAGCGTAGAATATGAGCTTTTATTTCTAAATGATGTGTGTTTGTTGATGTGAAAATCCTGCTAACACTGTAAGTGCTCCTCAGGAATCATCCTAATCTTGCAGAAGTGCGGCTGATTGATGTGTGTTTGTTCTGGCTCAGACTCCAGAATCACGGCTGTGACGCCGGCGGGCCGGATGCAGAACGGACTGCTCTCAGACTGTGAGCGGACCACGGAGGACAGACAGAGCTCCGGTCAGTGTGTGAGTGTGTGTGTGTGAGAGCGAGAGAGAGAGAGAGCGTGTGTGTGTGTGAGAGCGAGAGAGAGAGAGAGCGTGTGTGTGTGTGAGAGCGAGAGAGAGAGAGAGCGTGTGTGTGTGTGAGAGCGAGAGAGAGAGAGAGCGTGTGTGTGTGTGAGAGCGAGAGAGAGAGAGAGCGTGTGTGTGTGTGAGAGCGAGAGAGAGAGAGAGCGTGTGTGTGTGTGAGAGCGAGAGAGAGAGAGAGCGTGTGTGTGTGTGAGAGCGAGAGAGAGAGAGAGCGTGTGTGTGTGTGAGAGCGAGAGAGAGAGAGAGCGTGTGTGTGTGTGAGAGCGAGAGAGAGAGAGAGCGTGTGTGTGTGTGAGAGCGAGAGAGAGAGAGAGCGTGTGTGTGTGTGAGAGCGAGAGAGAGAGAGAGCGTGTGTGTGTGTGAGAGCGAGAGAGAGAGAGAGCGTGTGTGTGTGTGAGAGCGAGAGAGAGAGAGAGCGTGTGTGTGTGTGAGAGCGAGAGAGAGAGAGAGCGTGTGTGTGTGTGAGAGCGAGAGAGAGAGAGAGCGTGTGTGTGTGTGAGAGCGAGAGAGAGAGAGAGCGTGTGTGTGTGTGAGAGCGAGAGAGAGAGAGAGCGTGTGTGTGTGTGAGAGCGAGAGAGAGAGAGAGCGTGTGTGTGTGTGAGAGCGAGAGAGAGAGAGAGCGTGTGTGTGTGTGAGAGCGAGAGAGAGAGAGAGCGTGTGTGTGTGTGAGAGCGAGAGAGAGAGAGAGCGTGTGTGTGTGTGAGAGCGAGAGAGAGAGAGAGCGTGTGTGTGTGTGAGAGCGAGAGAGAGAGAGAGCGTGTGTGTGTGTGAGAGCGAGAGAGAGAGAGAGCGTGTGTGTGTGTGAGAGCGAGAGAGAGAGAGAGCGTGTGTGTGTGTGAGAGCGAGAGAGAGAGAGAGCGTGTGTGTGTGTGAGAGCGAGAGAGAGAGAGAGCGTGTGTGTGTGTGAGAGCGAGAGAGAGAGAGAGCGTGTGTGTGTGTGAGAGCGAGAGAGAGAGAGAGCGTGTGTGTGTGTGAGAGCGAGAGAGAGAGAGAGCGTGTGTGTGTGTGAGAGCGAGAGAGAGAGAGAGCGTGTGTGTGTGTGAGAGCGAGAGAGAGAGAGAGCGTGTGTGTGTGTGAGAGCGAGAGAGAGAGAGAGCGTGTGTGTGTGTGAGAGCGAGAGAGAGAGAGAGCGTGTGTGTGTGTGAGAGCGAGAGAGAGAGAGAGCGTGTGTGTGTGTGAGAGCGAGAGAGAGAGAGAGCGTGTGTGTGTGTGAGAGCGAGAGAGAGAGAGAGCGTGTGTGTGTGTGAGAGCGAGAGAGAGAGAGAGCGTGTGTGTGTGTGAGAGCGAGAGAGAGAGAGAGCGTGTGTGTGTGTGAGAGCGAGAGAGAGAGAGAGCGTGTGTGTGTGTGAGAGCGAGAGAGAGAGAGAGCGTGTGTGTGTGTGAGAGCGAGAGAGAGAGAGAGCGTGTGTGTGTGTGAGAGCGAGAGAGAGAGAGAGCGTGTGTGTGTGTGAGAGCGAGAGAGAGAGAGAGCGTGTGTGTGTGTGAGAGCGAGAGAGAGAGAGAGCGTGTGTGTGTGTGAGAGCGAGAGAGAGAGAGAGCGTGTGTGTGTGTGAGAGCGAGAGAGAGAGAGAGCGTGTGTGTGTGTGAGAGCGAGAGAGAGAGAGAGCGTGTGTGTGTGTGAGAGCGAGAGAGAGAGAGAGCGTGTGTGTGTGTGAGAGCGAGAGAGAGAGAGAGCGTGTGTGTGTGTGAGAGCGAGAGAGAGAGAGAGCGTGTGTGTGTGTGAGAGCGAGAGAGAGAGAGAGCGTGTGTGTGTGTGAGAGCGAGAGAGAGAGAGAGCGTGTGTGTGTGTGAGAGCGAGAGAGAGAGAGAGCGTGTGTGTGTGTGAGAGCGAGAGAGAGAGAGAGCGTGTGTGTGTGTGAGAGCGAGAGAGAGAGAGAGCGTGTGTGTGTGTGAGAGCGAGAGAGAGAGAGAGCGTGTGTGTGTGTGAGAGCGAGAGAGAGAGAGAGCGTGTGTGTGTGTGAGAGCGAGAGAGAGAGAGAGCGTGTGTGTGTGTGAGAGCGAGAGAGAGAGAGAGCGTGTGTGTGTGTGAGAGCGAGAGAGAGAGAGAGCGTGTGTGTGTGTGAGAGCGAGAGAGAGAGAGAGCGTGTGTGTGTGTGAGAGCGAGAGAGAGAGAGAGCGTGTGTGTGTGTGAGAGCGAGAGAGAGAGAGAGCGTGTGTGTGTGTGAGAGCGAGAGAGAGAGAGAGCGTGTGTGTGTGTGAGAGCGAGAGAGAGAGAGAGCGTGTGTGTGTGTGAGAGCGAGAGAGAGAGAGAGCGTGTGTGTGTGTGAGAGCGAGAGAGAGAGAGAGCGTGTGTGTGTGTGAGAGCGAGAGAGAGAGAGAGCGTGTGTGTGTGTGAGAGCGAGAGAGAGAGAGAGCGTGTGTGTGTGTGAGAGCGAGAGAGAGAGAGAGCGTGTGTGTGTGTGAGAGCGAGAGAGAGAGAGAGCGTGTGTGTGTGTGAGAGCGAGAGAGAGAGAGAGCGTGTGTGTGTGTGAGAGCGAGAGAGAGAGAGAGCGTGTGTGTGTGTGAGAGCGAGAGAGAGAGAGAGCGTGTGTGTGTGTGAGAGCGAGAGAGAGAGAGAGCGTGTGTGTGTGTGAGAGCGAGAGAGAGAGAGAGCGTGTGTGTGTGTGAGAGCGAGAGAGAGAGAGAGCGTGTGTGTGTGTGAGAGCGAGAGAGAGAGAGAGCGTGTGTGTGTGTGAGAGCGAGAGAGAGAGAGAGCGTGTGTGTGTGTGAGAGCGAGAGAGAGAGAGAGCGTGTGTGTGTGTGAGAGCGAGAGAGAGAGAGAGCGTGTGTGTGTGTGAGAGCGAGAGAGAGAGAGAGCGTGTGTGTGTGTGAGAGCGAGAGAGAGAGAGAGCGTGTGTGTGTGTGAGAGCGAGAGAGAGAGAGAGCGTGTGTGTGTGTGAGAGCGAGAGAGAGAGAGAGCGTGTGTGTGTGTGAGAGCGAGAGAGAGAGAGAGCGTGTGTGTGTGTGAGAGCGAGAGAGAGAGAGAGCGTGTGTGTGTGTGAGAGCGAGAGAGAGAGAGAGCGTGTGTGTGTGTGAGAGCGAGAGAGAGAGAGAGCGTGTGTGTGTGTGAGAGCGAGAGAGAGAGAGAGCGTGTGTGTGTGTGAGAGCGAGAGAGAGAGAGAGCGTGTGTGTGTGTGAGAGCGAGAGAGAGAGAGAGAGGGAGTGAGTGTATGTGTGTGTGTGTGTGTGGATCATTATTCCGCCGGCCCATTATCTAGATGAGCAGTCGTCGGTCTGCTTTATTACTGTGGTGGATTGATCTCAGATTCCTGATCATCAGGCAGAATATCAGAACTTGTGTAAGTGAGAATCAGCAGTGAATCTGGATTCATCAGACTTGCAGAGATCAACCCTTAGTGTTTATTTATAGACAATACAATATTTATTTAATCTTTCACTTGTGTTTTTGTTAAATTTCTTCTTCATTCATTGTGCAGCCTTACTAAACAATAAATATGTTGAATTAAAGTCCATCTTAAATGGCCTGCCATCAGAATTATTTTTGGTTTAGTAGTCTATAAATGATGAAACCCCTGACACACTATTTTTAGGGTTTTACCGTCAGCTCAGTCACGTGTGAGGCTCTGGATTCAGATGTTGTGTGTGTCAAGATAATTAAAGCACATGAAAGCGCTGCTTTAGCTAACGGCTGTTTTTAATGAGTTGGGCTCAGATAACGAAGCGCATCATGAGCTGAATAATGTGCTTTGTTCTGCTGCGTCCGGCTCTTTCTTCTCAGAGTTCGCAGGACAGTAGAGGCTCATGGGAGTGATGATGATGATGTTCCTCATGTGTTCCTGATGCTTTGTTCTCTCAGCCGCCCTTGACTTCCGCATGTCTCTGGACGGAGGAGTATGTGCTCAGGACAACACACTCAAGTCGCTCACGCTTCCTCCCAAGAAAACCGTCACCTTCCCCAGTGACCTTCAGGAGCCGCCCGCCAAACCTCAGCTCATCCACAAACAGCCTCCCGCCCTGCCGCCCAAACCCTTAAAACAGTGAGGAAGAACAACACTTTTCTGCAGTGAAGGTTCAGTTATTAACATATTCTAGTGTTTGGGAGCAGAAATATTCAAGCTGTGAACCATTTTTATTTTTATTCTCCATTCTTTAATTCCTTTTTCTTAATTCGGGTTTTAAAATGTCTTAGATTTACTGTCATACAACATGTGAATTAAAATAGAAAAGTTTAGTAAAGAGATGTATGCCGTGATTATTTTCAAACAATTAAATATTTAAATCCGTGTCATTGATATGCTATTATAGCTCTTTCCCGTCAGCGTTGTTTTAAAAATGGCCAAAAAGCGTCAGCATTTTTAAAAAAATCTTCTTTGCCGCCAGAATATTTTGTTGTATGCATCTGTAAACAGTCAATATATCAAAAGACAGAACAAAACCTGCTTTAAACATTTTTTTTATCAACACTTGAATGTGGGTTATTTCAAAGTAGATTTTCGAGTAGATGAAGTCCATCAACACACCCATAGTGTCGTGGGTTTATTATTTCATTCAGTAACATTAGTTTTGATTTATATGCTGTTGAATGTTTGATGAGCATGTTAGCTCGCATGTGCAGAAACCACAGATCGTAAACAAAGCTGATCATCATCTTGTTTTTGGATGCGGAGATGCTGTACTCTTTTAAAAGGTCCGTAACAGCGCCCCCTACTGTATATCTGTGAAAACAGGGAAAGAAAGTAATCGACAGCCGAGTCGATTATCAAAATAACCATTAGTTGTATCCCTTGTGTGACGGTGGTCTCTGGGTGAGGTTCTGACCCAGCTTACTACCCACCACAGACTCCCTGGCCCAGTTAACCAGCACTCACTGATTGACTGCCACCAACGAGTCTGACTACGAGGACCTGCCCAGCATGTATAAGGATGAAGAGCAGGAGGAGGACGACGATGACGACGATTCGCTCTTTACAAGTTAGTCTTGAAATCGTTTGTGTTTGCTGGTGGGTTATGGCAGATTCATTGATTTGTCCTTTTGTAATGAGGCAGTCAGGGCTCACTCTGTGTCTGTGCCTGTCTGTGTGTGTGTGTCTTTGCCTGCGTGTGTCTGTGTCTGTGTGTGTGTGTGTGTCTTTGCCTGCGTGTGTCTGTCTGTCTGTGCCTGCGTGTGTCTGTGCCTGCGTGTGTCTGTGTCTGTGCGTGCAATCTGAGGGTGCAAAACAATCTAAATATTGAGAAAATCATCTTTAAAGTTGTTCAAATGAAGTTCTGAGCAATGCATATTACTAATCAAACATTAAGTTTTGATATATTGACTGCTTTTGTGCTGCAGCGTCACACGTGTAATCCAGTAGATTATGTAATCAGTAACAGACTACAGTTGGTAAGTAATCATCATCCCTGCGCTCCGCTTGTGCTCTGTGTGTGCAGGTTTCACCGGCCGTGAGACGTCTGAGCTGCTTCTGCAGAGCTTCCTCAGATCCGCCAGCGTGGCACTATTGCACTGCCTTCGCACCAACACCAGCGCTTCCCTCCATCCGCTGTGCTGGTGTTTACAGGGTTCACCATCAGGAGGGCTTTCCTTCACACCATCCACTTCAGCGGCAAACTGTGAATTCTACACTCGTTTTATTCATCAGGGCCTGAGAGACTCCTTTCTTACTGCATTATTCTCACCGAAGGCTCTCTGTGTTTGTCCCACATTTGTGTGGATTATGATTGTTTTAAGCTATTTTTAGACCATTTTTCATTCATTTGCATGATTCTTGTGATTCATGTCCTGAAGGTCTTTGTTTTATTCATGTTTTTCCTGTTTCTTTTGCCTGTTATTTTTTGTTTTATACGATTTATTTTTAAGTTAAATACATTTTAACATCCTCTCGCACTGTGTTTATTGGAATCACAAACGACTTGTTCCAAGCGCCCATCATCCATCCTTCTGAATTCGTCTTTAATAAACGAGTGGTTTAATTCTAACAGGTTGAGATGCGCTGACAGACGTGTGATCGTCGTGTTTTTCATGGTTTTGACTCTTTTGCACTTGTGCTCATTGACTGCAGCTCAATGGTGCAGTGTGGCGCTTGCAACGCCAGGCTCACGGGTTCGATTCCCATGGGAACCGCCAGATTAATTGTAGGCATTTGAATGCTTGAGCGTCTGCACTATTCTTACATTCAAGTCCTAATGGAAGGATGTTGGTTTCCTTTAACGTAAATGATTAAGTTGCACCGACGAGGGACACCAAACTCACACTAATGTAATAGAAACGACAAATCAACCTTTTCAAATCGATTCTTAATTGAATGCTCAAACGTCCAGTGGATGAAGCTACAATCATATTCTGCATGCACTTTAATGACATGCTCAGTGTTTTTTTTTTTCATCATTTGGAGTAGATCTGAGTTTCAGTTGATTTATTGCTCTCTCGTGTTAAACTAAAGTCCTGGAATGAGAGAGTCTTTCTGTGGGGAATTTTGATCATGAACTGAAACCAGTCCTGAAGGATGTGAAACAACATCAGAATGAGTTTAATGAATCTCTCGTGCAGCTCGGGTAGCAAGGGGTTTTTTCCAGGACAATGTGACGATCAAACAACATCAGCTGAGGGAAGAATCAAGAACATCTCGCTTCATCTCACCAGGACTGCTTCCCAGCTGTGGGTTCTGGGAGCTGTTTTGACTCGCTTGAGCACCTAAAGTTGGCACAAAAATCAAGCATCAGCGCCACTGAATTCAACCCGTGTGGAAAAACTGAACCTTTCAAGGAACTAAATCATCTTTTTAACAATAGTGTGATTTTAAGAACTTTTAGAAACTGCATGAAGCATTGTGTGTCTCTGAGGGACTCCATGATTTCAGCAATAAAACCGTGTGTGTGTGTGTGAGAGTGAGTGTGTGAGAGTGAGTGAGTGTGTGTGTGTGTATCAAATCTCAATATACATATAAATGTTTCCTAAATTTACTTTTACTTTTTTTTTTTTTTTTTTTTTTGATTTATTTATATGTATTTCTTTTGTTAAATGCTTTGATTTGTCCTTCCTCTTTTTGTGTCTTCTGCTTGTTTTGAGGAAGACCTTGCACCCATTTCTTGCACCTTTTTTCACGTCTGCAGCTAATTATTTGCAGATGATTTCAGTTCTTGCAGAGCGGGCGAGGATCAGATCAAGTCGATCTCACACTCAGAGACGAACGTGACGGTTCTGAGCTCCGAGTCGAGCTCTGCTTGCACAGGTATCTGTCTCTGACGGGAGGTGAAGTATCTGACCTCCTCGGCCTCGTCTTTAGAGACGCGTTCTGCCCTGGCTTGTTTTAGGCAGCTCTTCTTGGGCGTGGGACGGCCCAGGACTTTCTCCTTCAGCCAGATCCCACAGCTTCTCCAGGGAGAGTTCCCAGGCTTGATGAGAGCCGTCTCCCTCAGCTGATCTGCTTCTCCTAGGGTCTGTTGGAGTATCTCCTGGAGGTTTCTTTGCACAGTAGGCGTGTAATGTCTCTGGATTGTGGGTGTATCGGGCCACGCCACCCTCCCGGGCTCCGGACCCCTGACGGGATCCACCAGGAACGTCCCCGTCTCAGCCATGTGCTCCCATTTAGTCTCAGTGAGCTTCAGGAGAGCCTTCAGGATGCGATTGGGAGCACAGGTGGGAACGTCTCTCAGACGGGACAGCATCCCTCTCTCAGGAGCTCCGGGTGGGCTCCACCTGCTCCTCACCTCGTCTCTCCAGGGCGAGGCAAGCGGCCTCGACTGGCTCCGGAGGCTGCAGTACGGCTCTTCTTTACAGTCAAAGTTGGTTTTAGTGGCCTTCATGCAGCTCTTGGGCCGTCCAGGGATGGGTTTGGCTTCTAAGGGCAATCTGTAGGACAGGTCTGCCCAGGACACCTGCTTAGGTCCAGCTTTCCTCCTCGGAGGATTCAGTACCAGGTTCACAAGTTCCTCTCTCCAGGACAGATTGGACTCAGAAGTGCTTTGAGTGCTGCGCTCCGCCATCATTCTCGCTGTCCTCCTTAATCGGAATGAATGGCTATATATGAGGATATCAGATTCAGAATTATTAATAACTCACGCCACGGCCTTTTATAGGCTGCGCCCGTGGCGTCATCGCGCCTGCGGGGCGGGGGGGGGGG